CCTTAAGCAAGAACTTTGGAGTTCTTTTGATCTTTCTTGTGATTTTGTTTGCTGTATGTGTGTGGATTTATTTAGAGAGCATTCCTTTAAGGCAGCCTCCAGTTCAAAGGGCTCACTGTTAGAAGGCACCTGTCTAATTAAGCTAAATCTGCATTTGGGAAAAAGAACAAGCAAGAGTTGGACTAATAAAGCAGACACCATTTGAACAAATGAGACAGATCCAAATAATGAAGTCCTTAAGCAGCAGCTGGAAGAAACTTGTGCATAGATATTTCAGACTTTAAGCTCTACAGCACCTGAGAGCTTTGCCCAGGAACATGAAAGATTTTGCCTTCTGGAGCTGGAGGGAAGCATAGCTGGAGCTCCTTCCAGATGGACCCACACCCACTCGTAGATTTCTTAAAGTTCACAACTCTGCACTAGGAGATTTATAGCACATTTCTTCTGATGTTTACCTTCCCATTGCCTTCTTTTTTTTTTTCCTCTTCAATTTGAAATTCCCCAAAGAGCCTCTGTGGACATGTCAGGAGGTTTGTAACGTCGTTAGAATACAGTTTATTCCAAATTTTATTTTATTAGATAGATGAAGGAGTAGTCTAACTTCCTTTTAATTGCATTTTCTCTTAGCAGAAAAATTCTCTTGATGGGTTCATCTGCAAATCTTAAGGAGAGTTTTGTTTTTCCCTCAGATTGAGATAGTTCTTAGCTTAACCCCACCAATTTCTGCCTCCCTCCCATTTTTTTTTTTCATTTGACTCAGGCTGTTTTCCTTCTGAGACAGGGCTTTCCTAACCAGCTGCAGGTTTTAGCTGTATTCAAGCTAGAATTCTGTTTGCCTAAAAGTAGTCTTTTAAGTTAATAAGTCACTGTGCCTACAGTACAGTGTTCATAGAGGAGGACTCCTCCTGTTATATGCCTGTTCCCCACGGAGGACGGCATGGGTATTTCTTCTCGTCATCTTGCTGTACAGCAGTCTTGCCTGCAATGCATTATTATCCATTACATTATAATAACAATAAAACCTCATTTTTTGTCTCTGATAGTTTTGGATAAGGAGGCCTGAAGTCTGTTCTGGCTTTTAGTAATGGAAGTCTTTCATTTGTTGAGGAAAAGGAAAGAATGTCTGAAGCTGAAGTGGCAGCGCGAGGTCCTCCCGCTGGCCAGGAGCAGTTGTCTGGGGAGGAGCCCAGGGTTGGAATGCTTTCCCAAATCCAGCAATCTCAGACTGATAAGCTTTGTGAATCAAAGCTGATTTTGTATTAGCTATCAGTCAATTTTTCTTACATGAGTTTTTCTGAGCCCTGTTTGAACTTAGCTAACTTCTCTTATCCGTGGTATCAGAAGAAAAAAGGTGTCTTTAGTTTTTAACATCATGTTGCTTGAGTAATTTATTTTTCTTTAGATTTTTTGTCAGTTTGGCTCAATTTGCATGGGGAGAGGCAGTGAACAGTCATTTCCTATTTGCTTTCTCTGTGCCTTTCAAGATTTTATAGATCTTCACTGTGTTTTCCTGGCTGAAGAGTTCTGGTATTTTCAGATGCTTCCCATATGGAAGGCATTTCATGTTTTTAATCACTCTCGCTGCTCTTGTTTTACCTTTCCCAGAACAGAAGAATAGCAAACAACCCCACAACATCAACAATAAAAAACCTGAACAATTTTTCTTGAATTTCTTATCATAGTGTATTCCCAGCATTTTCAGGTTTTAATATTTCTTTTACTGTTGGCTTTTCCCCAGCTGGAACATGGAGCAACATGTACCTGATGGAGAACAGTGCAATTAAGTTGTCATTGATTATACATTTCTTAAAGTGGGCAACTGATTTTCTGTAAGACTCCGTGCAGCATTTTGGCATATTTTACTTCAAGTTCACCGTAGAGGAGAAATGCTTCAACTTCTGTTTTGCCTTGTACTAAGTATCCCCTCTAAGAACAGGTTAAAGATAGGATTTCATTGTATTTTGGTTGGACTGTGCTGTAAATTTATTTTTGTCCATTTAAAAGAGAGTAATTAGAACATCCTGGCTAGTGTTTCTTAGTTGTTTGTAATGCTTCTTTCAGTACAATTACAAGGTTTGTCGTTGTAGCCTGTGGAGATGGTCAGTTTTCTGCATACCTACTAATAGAACACTGTGAGTCTAGACATGGTGTGTCATCTTCTTCCATTAATTTAGTGTTTGTGCTTGGGTGGTGATGAATAACCTGGTAGTGGTAGACCACAAACTGCCAAGTGATTACTTCAGAAAATAGAAAAACAGATTTGGTATGTGCCTCTGCATGTGTGTATTACCGAGTGCACATCATTCTATACAGCATTTTAGGAAACAAGAAAGAATAATAACTTGAAATAATCAGCTGTTGAATAGCTTGTTATGTTATGATAAGTGTTGATGATTATGTTTCTGAAAAGGAAATAGAGGGTAGCATACATGTATATTACTCACAGCTTTCTTAATGACTGAATTTTTAATCTTAAAGATGCTTTAAAGTCCACTTTGAATAAAAAATAATGAACATTTTAACAAACTCCATACTGAAAACATGAAACCTAAGCTGAATAAAGTATATATTCATGCCATACGTCGCAAAAGAAGACATTGATGAAACATTCATCATAGCTTATTCAATTCAATAAAAGAGCTACTAAGAAATATAAAAACTGGAGTTCTCTCATGGAGTGAGGTCCTACCTAACGCTGTGAAATGGTGTATTAGCAGAAGAGCAAGCAGCAGGGATGCCAGGATGAGTTATTCAACTTGTAGGCAGAACTTAAGCAGCCAAGTCAAGTGTGGAAGACTTGATATTTACATATACCCCAGAAATGTAAAATGAACAAAACCAAAGAACAGTTCTAAGAATTCCTTACTAAGAATCCTAAACTGAAACAAAAAACGGCAAAATAAGCCAGTAATACAGAATTAGCAGTCAGATTTATGTAGCTCAACAGCATTTCTCCCCTTCCCCCTTCTTCATGTACTATTATTTGATTGCTTCAAAAGGTGCAAGCAGAGCTAAAAGGACAAATCAAAGATCTTCCTCAGTTTAAACCAGTGTTTTGTTATTCACAGATAAAATCGTAAATAAGACCAGAAGGAAATAAAGTAATATCTTTCCTTCCTTCCTGATGTCCACAAAGGACAGTAAGAAAACACTCCAAAATACCAGATACAACTAGGATTAGAGTCAGGAAAAAAATAGCTCTTTTCAAAACAAGATCGAATATAGTAGCTTGAGAACGACTCAGAAGCAGCTCTATTTTCTTCATCTATTTCCTGAAGAATAAATTCAGGAATAAATACTGGCTTTTTTGAAATCTTGGGTTGTAGACTTCCTCACTTTCTTGGAGGGAGATTCTTCGTATTCCTTGATGTTTATTTCAGAATGAGCAACAAAATGTGTGAATCACACTTCCAGAAATGCTTAAATTTCTCTTTAAAGTATTATCTTTATCATGTGAAGAAGTAGAGCAAGTAGTTGTTATCTTAAAGGACAAAATTGGCACAGCTTCAATGGATTTTTGAACTTAGGGCCCCTGTACTGCGTTCCCCTAACCTACCCTAGGTTTTGCTGTATTTGTACCACGTAATGTGACCACAATAATAACATGGGAACTTGTGATCAGGATGAAGGAAGATGATGGTACGGTCCAGAATAAGGAGTCCAAGCAGTGCTGGACGCGCCTGTGTTGCCTGGCACACTACTTTCAGATAGACTGATGAAGTGCAGACTGTTTTACGGTGTTTTATTTTTCTTGCTGTTCATTAGCAATTATAAGCGTTCACAGTTACTGATCTGTGTATCCAAAATGCTCTTGTGCCCAGCAGATGGGGTTTCAAGGTTTGTAATGTAGATCCTTACACTATGATGGGTTTGATTAAAGCTTTCTGCCAACATCAGCCCAGGCGTGGGGGCTGTCAGCTTGCTGACACCGTGAAACCAGGTTGCAGGGACATTAACCTAACATGTGGTAAGATTAACATGTCGGAGAATGTGCTGTACCTTCCATTTACTGTACTGGTTACTTTCCTTACAATGTACAATGTGGAGGCATCTGTTGGGAACAAAAGAGGAAAGGGAAAGGAAGGAGAAAAAACCCAAACATGATTTATTTAAGTAGGAGCATGTGCAAACATATTTATTGTTTATCCTACAAATGGATCCTTTCTCTCTCTTCTACTCTTTCCTAAGCTTTATGTGCTTAAAAATTCCATAAATGTATTTATTTGGGTAGATTTCTCATCATAACTTAAATCATTAATAAATTAGTTTCAAATACTCCTTTTCAAATCTGACCATTTACTGAACGAATAGAAGAATGTTGTTATCTGAATGGGGTAGCAAGCAGATAAATTTGGTATGCGTGCAACTCCCAGTGATGTCCTTTAAAGCAAAGGCATAGTAGCAGCTGCTGTGCAGGCGGTGCGTGTTGCCAGTGGAATTTATTTTTGACCAACCGTGCACTCTTCGACTCCAAATGCGCTGTCTTGAGCAATTGCAGTGTGTAAAAAGAAAAAGTGGTGGGGGGAATTATAAGGAGGAGGACTGTAGGAGTGGGATAAACATAAATACAGTTTTTGCTTATGATCAAGGAAGTATTTGAATCTAAATTTTAGAAGCTGAAAAATTAGCAAATGACAGATTTCTATTTTTTTATTGTACGACAAAATACTTTTAATGTAGTGTTTTTCAGATGGCTTAGATTTGAAGTAGATATAAATGCAAATTATAGCAGCTTTTGATGACATAAATGCTTTAAGTTACTTTGCAAACGTATTTTGCAAGTATATTATTTGGCAAGTATATATTTTTTATTTGTATGAAGTATGACTACAAAAAATAACAATGTCAGCCTGTCTGGAGAAAGCTTTCAGTTATCTGACAAGCAGGTATGCTTCAACCCTGGATTTCATTTTTTATGTGTATTGAAAAATAATACCCAGAATTTCAAAATGTGAGTAATTTGTTGGTGTTTAGAAATACCAATTACAGCCTTTCTCGGAATGGGATATAAAAGGTATTTCATTTTTTTGGTGTGTAGTTTTCTTGTTCCCCCTTCCCCCCCCAAACTGGAGATGCAAGACAGTCAGAAAAACACGTCTTGGTTGGCGGTGGTGGGTTTTGGATTTCAGTGGTTTGGTTTTGTGATGGTGTGGTGTTTGGGTGGCTTTGTTTGTTTGCTTTGTCCCCCCCTCCAGTTAGTGCATATTACAGCATGCTGTGTGTGTTTCCTGGGAGTGCATCATGGGCTACCTGGGAAGATTATTTTTTTTCTCATACTTCCCAATAGCTGTTTCTAGTATTTTGTATACAGATGGAGCTTACCATAGTCTTGGCAGCAGCTACAGATGAGGACAAGTGCATTAAGTCATCTGGTTTGGGTCAGTGTCACTAGAAGATGGTTTCTTGCTGTGTATTGATGAGATCTTTCTTCCTTCAGCTGGAGGGAGGAGCTTTTAAATAACTTGATGTTCTCTAGACAATACTTCTTCTCAGTTGTGCTTGAGAAGATAGGTCCAACATCTCATTTTCTCATCAGGAATTTGACAAGCTTGTCCATATCTGATTATATACCTTTTACAAGCTGTTCCTGCAAGGAAGTCCAAATTCACTTGAGGCCTGTTTTGGTCTGGTCAGGTGCATCTCTGTCCATGCCTGCTTAGGGTCCCACAGGTGACATGAAAGCTGACAGTGAGAAAATAAGCAAGACGTGCTTCACTGGTATTTCCCAAGGCGTTTTTCCTCCCCTCTGAAGAGCTGGGTTACCCCTGTGCGGAAGCTCTTTACTAAGTGTACTCTCTTTTTCTTTCAGGCCAGAGCCTCAACAGAAAGCTCCCTCTGCACCTCCACCTCCACCCCCACCCCCGCCTCCACCCCTGCCAGAGCCCACGCCGCCAGAGCCCGAGGAGGAGATTTTAGGGTCTGACGATGAGGAGCAAGAGGATCCCGCAGATTACTGTAAAGGTGTGTGCCCTTCAGCAGTGCCGATCGGCGTAAACGTTGTCGTGCAAGTCTGAACTCTGGTTCTTGGGAGGTTTTCAAAGTGTGGGGAAGGAATAAGTTATTTGTCAAAGAATTCCAGGGATGGGTTTTAGATACATGACTTCCATTTTTTTTTGAGAGGTGTTTTGTTAGTTTGAATATGTTTTTCTCTTTTGGGTAACCTTATCTGTATTTACAGTGCGGAAGATAAATATTTGGAAATCATAATTTACTACTGGAGTGTCTCTTTTCTTCCGAATTTTATCTCCAAAATGGCAGTCTCCCAGGAATTTTGAGTAAAACTCAAAGCGTACTTCATCTGTTCTCAATCTCAATCTGAAATTTCATAGGAAGGCAATTTTGATGAGGGAGTATATAATTAATTTTTTTTAATGAATTCAACATTTTACCTGTTAACTGTACGTCCCATTGCCAGGGTATTTTTGTTACTAATTTCATTTTTATTTTTAAGGATATATTACTATGTGCTGGACTCATACCTTCGCGTCATTACATAGTGGTTAATAAATAGTCATAATAGTATTTTTAATCAAGAAATTGAATTAGTTTGAATTAACACCTGATGTGAAAGAGACAACTAACAGCCATCAGTGTAAAGCAGACTAACCTCTGTTCCCCAGGGGCTTCCTCCAGGGCCTGTTTTTATCTGTGAAATTACTTCTGTTGGTGTCACTGAATTTACATGAAATGCTTTTCATGTCTTTGTTTGTTTAAGGAATGGAAATATCAAAAGTCCAACTATGTGGTTTTTCAAGGCATACTTAGTGAAGCTAGTTTTTCTTCTTTTCTGAAAAGCCTTGAAACACTTGGAGATATTTTTTTCAAGAGCCTGTTGTGTCATGGATGTAATTGGAATTCTTTGCTTCTCTGATCATCTTCTTTGACCCCTGGAGATGTCTCCCATTCATCCAGTTCACAAAGGGAATAATTCCCTATACAAACATAGAACTAGCCAGCTACAATTACCAGTACATTCAGGAGACATTTAGGAATAATGATCTCATTTTCCTGACCCTCTTTCTTGAGTGCATGTAGCTAGCTAGCTAGCTGTGAGAGAGACTTTTTGTGTGTGTGTGTGCTGCTGTGAATAGCACAACAGGGTTTTTGTTACATTATCAGCAGTGCCACTTACACATTGTATATTTTCAAATACCAATATTGTTTTTCCAAAAGTACATCATTTTTCTCAACTCACTGATTTTGCATAGATGCTTTCTTGTTACTACTATTTAGAAATACTTTCTGTATCATGAAGAAAAATAATTACATTAATCACAGAATAACACCAGTTTTTAAAATGCATTTAACTAAACATGTTGTCACCTGGTTGTCCACAATCTGTAAATGAGTATGTTGCTGACATGAATAATTAAGGAGTAACGTGTACAGGAATGGTAATTGATTATTCCCAAAACTGCTCCTGTTGCGGCTTAGGACAGTAGAAATTACCATGTGAGGTTATATATACTCAGAGAACACGCTGCTGCTCTTGGTATCTGTAACGTACGCCAGTGTATTGCCATAATTAGTTACGACAGTGCTGTAGTGACCAAAATAACACGGTTTTTGCATATATACTATTGTTGTTCTTGCAATACATAGATTTTACTAAAATAACTTATCAACCCTCAGTTTATTCACTTGACTTTAGTGCTTTTGATTTCCTCTGAAGAGTGTTCTCTCTTCTGTCTGTGATGGGAAGAAACTGTGCCAAGGTTTTGATTATTTTTGACCCTTTGAAGCACAAGGATGCCAAAAGCTATCTGCAGAGAGGCAGACTTGTAAGGCACTTGTTTACCTAAACTATTCTTAGAAACATACGTTTACCTGTATTTAAATTCTTCATTGTTAAGTGTGATGCTGTTAACATGTCAAAAAAGTGAATGTTTTGTTTAGTGCAAAAAATTTACTCCTGAACATCATTTTAAATGCTTGAAGGCCCACGTACACCCTTCTGGCAGCGCAAAAAGCTGCATGAACGGTGTTTTCATATACATGTGAAGCCATATAACTGTTAAGGAATTATTTGATAGGACTAAGTATTTAGAAAAATTGTAAAATGTTCCAGAAGTTTTTGTATTGTTGAATTTTAAAATCTGTTTTTGCAAACCATTGAGAGGTGTTAAAATGAGATGTTAAATATTTTTTCAGTTTTTCTAATTTTATCTGTTTGCAAAAGGATTAATGATTATACAGAGAATAACATTCTGTACTTCTCACTGCGTTCATCAAATGATACATGCAGGACAAAACTCAAATCAGAAGGAATGATACTGTGATAGTGAATTATGTGGAAGTGTTTTACATAATTCACATCAGCAGACTTGATTCATTTCACAAATGCAGACTTTTTCAGCAATAGAAAGGTAGAATTGTTGTATGTTCTCTCAACCTTCCACTCACACCTACCACTTCATCATCCTAGATAGAGTTTTATGGAAAGAATTAACCAAAGAGTAATAATTTTATTTGTTTGTTTTAAACCAATCTGTATTTGTCTTAAAATATTATTGTATTTATTCAGATTTTTAAATATTTTCATCAGCTTTGACTGCAGGAATGGTTAAATAGACAATTAAATTAAAATTTTCTTTTGTATATAAAATTTCTATCAGTATGTATTTGTATATGTGAGTTTATTCAGCAAAATTTCTATAGTAACAAAACTGCAGTAGACTTGGGCTTCATATGTGACTGATGCTGTTTCTTTTTGCAAATGAGTGGACAGCATAACAGTCAAGTTGCTTTACTTTGAAGAGTAAAGAGTTCCCACTTGGCAATGTTGCACATTCTTACTGAGCTTGACACAATTCAGCAGCGGAAATGAAGGTGGCTTTTTAGGTTGCTAGGTGAGGTGTCCTGGCAGCTTTTCATGAGCATTTCCTTCCCTGGGATGGAGGGGAGGGCAGGTCTTCCCCCAAGGGCAAGTCCTTGGACTCAGTCTTGGGCTGGGTCCATATGTCTCAGTCCTCCTGTAGAGCCCTGGACTGCTCCTGAACTAGGGCCTTCTTTTCCCTTTGCTCTTCTCTAACTGAACGTGTTGGTGTCTGTATACCTAGTGATTTGTGAAATGAAACACTGTGTGTGATTGTAAGAACACACTTCTCACAAGTTAAAAGTTTAAAGGTGGTTCTCATATCTGGATCTTCATAGATTTGTGCAAGATTTTCATGGAAAAGATGAAAAATTCATCACCTTACTGCTGGGCTGGGTTACCTGTGCACATCAGACCCAGCGCTGTGCCTGGTGAGCACTGAGCCTCTGCAGCGGTGTGAACTGGGAGGCAGCTGGGCAGGGAGGTGTGTGAGGTTAGCACTCTACAGGGGAGACTCGTGCTGCCCATCCGAAATTATTTGTGGCTGTCACTTGGGTCAGACCGGCCTCTCCTGAGACGGGCACTTGTGGGTGCTGCTTCCCTGGTGGGAGCACTTGTGGGTGCTGCTTCCCTGGTGGGTGCACTTGTGGGTGCTGCTTCCCTGGTGTGAGCACTTGTGGGTGCTGCTTCCCTGGTGGGAACACTTGTGGGTGCTGCTTCCCTGGTGGGTGCACTTGTGGGTGCTGCTTCCCTGGTGGGGGCACTTGTGGGTGCTGCTTCCCTGGTGGGGGCACTTGTGGGTGCTGCTTCCCTGGTGGGGGCACTTGTGGGTGCTGCTTCCCTGGTGGGGGCACTTGTGGGTGCTGCTTCCCTGGTGGGGGCACTTGTGGGTGCTGCTTCCCTGGTGGGGACACTTGTGGGTGCTGCTTCCCTGGTGCAAGCACTTGTGGGTGCTGCTTCCCTGGTGCTCTCCCCTGAGCTGCGTGAGTCTCTGCCAGCGCTACGGCGTGCGGGAGCCCGGGCAGCTGCAGCCATGTTGGATGGGTCAGCTTTTGGTTGAGGCTGTGAGCAAACGAGCGAGCGTCTGCTGTCTGCTAAGCTTAAAGTTACACCTTAACATACAAATGTGGAAGCTGTGTGTGTTTCAGAATTTTAGTTTAGACATACCAGCATCTAAAGCAATACATTGTTTAAGTTTTACGGTTCTGTTGGATATGGAGTCTCTATAGATCTCTTGTACAATTGCATTAAATTTATTAATCTGCTGTGGAAGCATTTAAGAAAAATTTGTAAATAGACTCCTGAACTTCTGTTAAGGCAAAAGATGTTATTAGCAAGGAAAGGATATAAATATATCCAGATTTGATGCTGCTGTTCCACAGATAAAAAGGTGATAAGAGAGAAGTCCCTGTTTTAAATCCAAGGAATTAAGTGATAAATTCACATTGTTGTCTTAATTGGGTAGCAGTTCTAACAAGATTTTCAGGGGATTTTGAAACAAATTCAGCAACTTAGAGAAAGTAGTCTGAGGTTTTCCTAATTTTAAGTGGAATAATAACTGAGGAACCTTCCAAAGGACAGTTGGGTGTTCCATTGTGAAGGACCAGAAATTGCGGAAGAGGTGATTCTTTGACAGCTACTCTGAGTCTACTTCTGGTGATGTCCTGGAGGGTTGCACAGTGCAACTTTTATTATTTGTTTGCAATTTAGGCAAAATTGTGGATGTTGCTACTAGTGTGTTAAGGTCTGAATTATAATCTTGTGTAATCACTGTCTTCTCTGGTTTGACTGGGAGGAAGAATGCCTCTTAAAATACGAAGGAAATTAAAAGCTTCACTACACCTCCTCACACTGCCTAGAAACCTGAGCTCCAGCCTGCTCTGTCCTGTTGGTCTTTATGCCTAATAGGGCTTTTGAGGACCTGTGTAGCGGTTTAAGTTAGGACTGCAGGCTTTGGTAATTAAAAAGCAGTTCACACAAAGCCCGTAGCTGCCTGCTCTCTTTTCCCTCACTGTAAAAACCTCAGACATGAGAAAAATGCATTGCTGCTATGGATCAGGAGCCCAGCAGAAGAGCATCAGTAAAGTCTGCATTGTTCTTAACGTTTTCTCAGGAAGTATTTTATTGCTGCCTTTATTAATAGAAAGCAAATGGGAATTAGAACAATCTCTGTTGGGATTCTGCAGTCATCCAAAATATGTTGAGTGGAGAAGCTTTAAAAATGATGAAGAAATAATGTAGATCTTTCCTGTACTCTCTGTGAAGTGGAAGATGAGCTTGGGGAAATAGGGAACAGATGGTAATATTACCACAAAAAAAAAGCCATAAGAGAGAAGGATGAATAAACTCTACAGTAGTTACAGGACATGAATTTTTTCCCTCCAGGACAAGTAAGGCAGAATTTTTAACATGGCAGTAAAATTTTCTTTAGATTTCCTATTTATAGTACAGGATAATTTGAAGAGGAAAATTTATACTACAAGAATTACTTGAAAACCTGGGAATTATTGTTTGTTTTCTGAAAATTCTTTTTATGCTTGTTTTTTTCATGAAAGGAGGCTATCATCCAGTGAAAATTGGTGATCTTTTCAATGGCCGATACCATGTTATTAGAAAGTTAGGATGGGGACACTTCTCGACAGTCTGGCTATGCTGGGATATGCAGTAAGAAAACTATTTATTTCCATTCACTTTTTTCTTAATATGTTACTTTGTTTGCAGTAACTTTTATTTTACATAAATGTTAAAGTTTTGTAAATGTTTGCTGTCTTTTTATGCAGAAAGATGTCTGCAGTCTTATTTTGCTCTTGATTAAGGTTGCAGTTTATAAGAGCTCTCAGAAATAAGTGTAATTCTATTTTCATTGACTCAGTTTAGCTCTGCTTATTGAATTTACACGTTGTGTTGAACATGCAAGAGTAAGCTAATGTTATTTCTGTTGTATCTTTAATGAAAAATTATAATTATACCTTAACTGAATGATAAAATGTGTAACCAAATACCTCTTTTAAAGACATTAGCATCAAGGAGAAAAATTATTCAATAAATCAGAGTATTGGTAAAAGTTGTTTTTAAGTGTAACTCAGTGTTTTCTTTCAGAATACATTAGGTTATGAAATATTCTATTTAAAGTTTCCCTTTAAAGTATGTCTGTTTTCTATTTTAGCTCAGAGCACATGTTTAAAATATTTTTGTTCTTTTCAAGGGGGAAAAGGTTTGTTGCAATGAAAGTTGTAAAAAGTGCCCAGCATTATACAGAGACAGCCTTGGATGAAATAAAGTTGCTCAAGTGTGTAAGTATCACTCATGCAATTCAGTGCTCAATACCAATTTTTAATTTTTTTTTTACTCCCTCCCCCCCCAATAATTGGCTTATTATGTGTTACCATGATTTCTGAAGCTCCAAAATATTGTTTAAATTCATGTGGAAAGCTAACTAGTTAGTATTTTAAAGTGAGTTTTTTCCTAAAATATCATTGTTTACATTCTTGGTTTAGGTTCGTGAAAGTGACCCTAATGATCCCAACAAGGATATGGTTGTACAGCTAATTGATGACTTCAAAATTTCTGGAATGAATGGAATTCGTATCCTTTTGAAAACATGGCTTCTTCATTAAAAATGATGTACTGAGATAAGTAAGCATTTAGTTCCGGCATTTTCTGGTTAGTCATACTTTAAATTTGTAATGTAGAAACACCAAAACATACGTAGATGCAAAGAGTAGTCCAGTGTGCAGTGCACTTGCTGGAGTGAAAGTAACTTTAGCTTTTCTAAACACAACACAGAATAAAAAAAATTCCCATGAATCCTGTCCTGGTCTGCTAGAACTTGGCACTGCTGGGTTTATGGTTGGACTAGATGGTTATAGTGGTCTTTTCCAGCCAAACTATTCTGTGATTCTATGAACTAGAGATAGTTACTTTACTTAAAAACTGGAGTTTTACTGGAAAGATTTGTATTAACTGAGGCTTACAGGAAATATGTTTTGCTCTAGACTAGTAAAGAGAAAGTAAGTCAGTGTCATAAAGAAGCTGATTTCTGTTTTCTTGTAGGAAGTGTGAGGGCATGGAGAATCTTCTCTTGTTTATGTGATCCTCTTTTGGCCAGGTGTTAACCTCTTTTTTGGCAAAAGTGTTAAAACTTTATCTTCAAATGCTTCTTTTTTTTAAAAAAAAGGAAGGAAGGAGACAAAGTAAAATATAACTGAATATTGTTCTCAGAGAAAATTTTAGGTCTATGAATATATTTGATTTTAGAGTTGAGCTAAAGTGAATTATTGTTGCTAATTATATTAGAGATTTTAGCAGCTTATTATATTACTGTGCTTTCATTTACTGTTACAGCTGATATTTATGTGTATGCTTGTTGTGTCTCGGAGCCCTCATACCAGACCTCCTTGTCCATGGTGTCATACTGCCAGACAAAGAGATGATTCCTGCTTTAGAGAGCTTAACACTAAGTTGATTTTGGTGATATGCAGATAATCTTCGGCAGATCAGGTTAAGATGCTCTTTCACCAACTCTTATCCTCTAAGGAGAGGAGTCTAGGAGGTGACTGTCAGTAAGTCTGAATGCCCACTAGAAAGCAGCCTTTCAAGGAGAAGTGCGTAAGCAGTTTTTTTCCCCATCCGTCTGCGTCTTTGACATTAGTTATGAAGCCTTTGGGCTTGTAATAAGTGAGAAAGAGAGTGTGGGGACAAGTATTCTCAGTTACAGCATGGGGTCTTAACTGCTTTCCCATTGTCCCATTTTGGTTTGTTTTCTAGTTGCTTCAGTGGTCAGCTAGCATGGTAGAAAGCTGCTTAAATGTAAGTGAAGTTAGTATAGTCTGCTTTTTTCCCAGGTTTTATCATCAAATTAAAATGAATTAAAAGAAACTGTACACTTACCAGGAGTCATTTCAACCTGAATATAAATGGTTTGTGATCAAGGAAATTGCTTAACACGGGATGAGGCAAAGAACCCTGGTTAGAGTTTCTTGGTGCTGCTGTTGTGCTACAAAAAATAGGTTTTAATTTATGAGCCGAGATGCTTACTAAGAAGTATTTAATAAATATCTTTATTTTCTAACGATGTTCATAAAAAATGTGACCGAAGCATTTCAGATCTTTAGCTGACAACTGTGCAATTGAAGAATAAAGTTATTTTTAGAAATCAGAAATTTTGAATTACTGTTTCCCTAATGTGAAATAGGGAATAAGAAAAGGTGTTAATAAATATACATAGAAATAATTGTTATCTGCTTAACAGAGTGGTTTCCCAATAATGTTCTTGAATTATTGCGGATTCATGTGTGTGTATACTTCTGTAATAAAGGTGAGAGCTATTTCTAAATGTGAAGTGTAAATTTTGTTAGTGATAGTATTTTGAAAGCATATCCAAAATTTATCTTTTTGAAATATAGCACTTAAGTTGTCAAAGCCAAAAGAGACCATGTAAAAATAAGTGTTCAGTTAGCTTTTAGTTAGCATATTAAAACTGGACAGCTGATACAGATTTATTCTGTTTCAGTTTTACCTTCATGTTGAAAACTCTGGCAAAACAGAAGGGTTTTTTTATGTGAGGTGAATGTTCCTGCCTTCACAGAATCACAGAATGTCAGGGATTGGAAGGGACCTCAAAACATCATCTAGTCCACCCCCCCTGCTGGAGCAGGAACCTAAATGAGATCACACAGGAAGGTGTCCAGGCTGATTTTGAATGTCTCCAGAGAAGGAGACTCCACTCTTGAATGGAAGAAGGAGAGAAGGAAACTCCACTCTTGAATGTCTCTAGAGAAGGAGACTCTACTTCTGCCTTACTGAGAAGTATTGAGAAGTAAACAGGATGGGCTGGTGGACTCAAATTCAAGTTACAGCTGGAAGTCTCTGTCCAAGTCTAGCCACCAGTGAAAATATGACGACAAGTATCTTACACTTTGAGGTTCGTTGTGAACAGTTTGTGCATCCTGAGTTTACATTGCTTATTTGAGCACAGGTTGTTTTCATTGATTATTTGCTCAACTCCTTTTTTATCTTCTAGGAAAACAAAAATCTTTGTTTCAGGTTCTTTTGGGAGGGAGCAGATAACTTTTTTTAACGTTCTGCTACTGTTTGTTTTAAAAATGCCATATTAGTGTTCCATTAGTGTTACTGAGTTGAACAGGTTGAGAGCAATACAGTCATTTGAGAGTTTTTCCATGCTCTGCTGTTTCCAGCTTCCTTTGAGCAAGTCACTAGATATCTGTTCCTTGACTGTAAATTAAAACAACATATGCTTCATAGAGGCTTGATTATTGGTTATGGAATACATTTGAAAGTTAAAGCAAGACAGAAGAGAGGTGGGTGAATCCTTTGGGTGGCTAATATCACAAAATGTCATGGAGCTTCCAAACAGGGAAACTTGTCAAGAACCGTGTAACACAGAGCTGGGTATGTGCAGAGACATTGCCCTGCACTGTGTCTGAGAACAGTCATCTTTCTCCTAGGAGCTGTAATAAGTGTTTATATACAGAGAGATTTTAACAATGCCTGTTATCCTACACTAGCCAGATAATTTTTTACTTGTACATTTTTTAAAAGATTGCAATTATGATTTTTTCAGGAAGTAAGAGAATTCCCAAACTTGGGCACTTTGATGTTTTCAGTGGGTGTAGATTATTATATTTATCTGCACTGGATATTTATTCTGGGTATTTATTAGAGCTTTAATGAATGCTTATTTGAGTGTAGCATTTTTTTAATAAAAGATTCGGATAATCACATAATGAAACAAGTGTTTGGAGAGACAAGTAAAAAAATAAAGAGGGAAACATTCCCGACACAGTCAGACATTATAATAATTGTAATAAATTTATCTCCAAAGAATACACAGCATTAAGTAAATGTCACAGAGCCTAAATGCTACCAGTCCAGAAGCAACTGAGATCCAGATGTGCTCTGTGTTGGTACCAGAGCCTTATTTTGTTTAGCTTAACTAGTCTTTAGTCCTCATCAGATTTCTGTATGGTCCTGTAATGTGAGTTTGTAGATAAATAGTTACAGGTAGGATTTTAGTCAAGAAATATCAGATTTGAGTACTTAAGCCTGTCAGCTGATGAAAGTTATGTTTGCTCTCACTTCTGCTGCTCTGCTCAGCATCCCCCTTTCAGACATTCCCCAAACTGCTTCAAAGAGTGTTTCATAAGAGGCATGTCTGCTGGGTAGGCTTCAGGTTTATTTTTGACAGAGGACTTTTTGGGCATACTCATCTGTCAGGATGTTTGTGCTGTAGGAAGATCCTGGGGCTTGGAAGGCTGGTTTCCTAATAGTTAATGCATAGCTTTTCCCAAACTCTTTGTTGTGGGCAGTCTGGTTTACAGTTAACATTTTTCAGGTCAGGATGGTAAATCAGACAAGAGTCACATTTTTGCATACCTACTGCAAACACCGAGCCTCCTGTATATCTTCTCCCCATCCCAGTTGCCTCTCCAGTACTGAGCACACCTTGAGTTTGTCCAAGTCCTCCCAGCAAAATATTGCAGTCTTTTTTCAAGTACACATCACTTCTCTTTCTTGTGGCTCTCCCTCTCTTTGTCTGCCTCTGCCATTCCTCTTTGTCTCTTCCTTCTGGGTGCCCTCCCCTTTCTTTCCTCCTAGCTGTTCACTTCCCCTCACCCTTCTCTTCTGATTACTGGCAAGGTTTAGCACTTCAGTAAGTGCAAGGAATGGCAGGAATGTGCATTGGAGAGTCTGCAGCAGCAGTGGTCTGAAGGACTGTGGGCGGGTGTCCTAGATTTCATTTCTGAATGCTGCACTGTCTTGCCTTTCTGAAATCTGTGTTGCTGTAGCATTGCAATTTCACTGTGTGGGCTAAGTTAATAAGCCCTGCAGAGCTGATGTGCTCTGCTCATCTGTTTTGATGGCTGTGTGCTTTGCTAGTGACTTCTGTTCATTGGATGCTTGTGTGGTAAAGTAACCAAGACTCTTTCCTCTTCTGAATAGAACATTTTTTAGAATGTTCTGAGTAGACCTGATTGATATGATTGAGAAATGACTATTCACCGTCTCCTCTAGTACAGGAATGAGGTGAGATGAACAAGTAGCAGCAATCAAAATGTTACAGTTCTTCACAGTGTACTTTGACCAGTCTTGCGACCTTTTAAGTTTGAGAAGTCTTGGGAACTTTTAACTTTGGTCCAACTCCAGCATAAGGGATGTAGATTTTAAAACTTCAGTTAATTATGCATATAGGTGAGTACTTTACAAGAATGTAAACAGTAGACCCATAAACAAGGTAGGTCTCATTTTGACACAAGTTAAGACAGTGACTCCAAGATCATGGCCAAGACTCTAGTTAATAAATCTTAGAGAAGTTAGATACGATTTCTCTCTTAACAATGTAGTTCCCTATGAATGGTCTCTGAGATACAGATGGTATAATTTCCATCCATTGAGATTTTCCTGCAGTATCCATCAATTAATTCATTTCCTGTTCTTTGTATTACATTCTTTGCAAAGTTATAAAATCATGAGGTTAAGATTTTAACATTCTTTCTGATTTTCAGTGACATTAACTTAATTACCAGCTCATGTCTGAGGATTACCTCAGTATAGTTAGTTTGCCTATTTTCTTGCTGTTACGTTGTGGATGAGAAAACTTAGAATTAGTTGGAATAGCTGAATATTTTCTCAATAGAAAGATAACCTGCCAAGGTGTATTAAGTGTAGAACCTCTAACTTGGGAAGCCCCTGAACCAGTAATCACTGGAAGTTACAACATCTTGTTTTTTCCTAATGCTCTTCCCTAATCATCTACTATTGGTCTCTGTTGGTGGCCAATGGTAGATGCTGGGTCAACTTAAACTTTTTGGCATTGTGTTTTTTGCATGTTGCTTCTTGAGTTCTGCATTTTCTTTGTTCCTGACTTCTTTGGTGATTGCCATTATTCTCTGCAGTTAAAATTGTAGGTGGTAAGAGATCCATTCTATTACTACTTTAATCTTTGTTGTCAAGTGATTCTTAATTGAGCCTAAGCAAAAAGATCTTTAGTATGATTCCTTTTCTAAAACACTGTTGCTTCAGTCTGTTGTTAAAACCTTCTGTTCATATAATTTAATATTTATTAGAAACTAGAGATAATAGGCCAAATCAGTACTTTTTAACTGTTTCAAATAAAACAAAAATGAATTAGTTATTTTTTTACAGTTAATCTATTTCTTTGTTCACCCTAATGCTATTGTTAACATGTTTAACAAGATTTGCATAATTAAGATGTTTTATTTTAATTTGTTCTCCATTAGGGCACTGTTCTTCTGTGTGTGTACATATAGTTGAAATGTATCAAAGCATATACCATGTTCTGCCCATTTTAGGGGGAACTGTTTTCCCCCTAAACAGGGTGATACTGCTGTAGCCAGTATGCAAACAAACATTTATGTTGATGTCATCAACAAGTTTATTTGGAAATTATCCTTAATTAAATCCCAGATGTCTGTATGGTCTTCGAAGTACTTGGACATCATCTCCTAAAATGGATAATCAAGTCCAATTATCAAGGCCTTCCCATCCGTTGTGTAAAAAGTATAATTCGACAGGTAAGATGTGTTAATGTTTTAATTAGGTTTTTCCACCATTGTTAAGAGGTTGAAGGTTAGAACGATGATATTTCGACTGAACTCTTACTAATTAATATCTGAGATAAGGCAATTATACTGGTAGTCTCAGGAGAGTTGCAAGAGCATCTTGCTGGATAGCCTACATTTCTGCATGCTGGGGTTTGTTTTGTTTTAGGTTTGTTTTGGTTTTTTTTTTTCTCTTTTAATCAAGATTTCCCACTGATAAGGGAGTTTCCTGAGCTGCTTTAGAAAATAAGAAGTTGAAGCAAGTGAGTCTCTTTCACATATGTAAAGATATTTGTACTCAGTTGTTGTTTTGGTTGACATGTCATGCTTCTTAATAAGAACTTCTGGAAAATTAAGCATCAGAACAGTGGGAAATATTATTATGATGAAACTGAACAGAAATTATATATCTTCCTGAAAAATAGGTTTTAAAGGGAAAAAAAAGTTCTTTGAAAATTGTTGTCTATCTGTATTTAAGTTCTTGAACAGTCAGAGGGCTAACAAGATGAAACAGTTCAGAACATTTCACTTAAACATTATTTCAGAATATGTTCTTTTGCTGTAATATGAAAATCAAATGCTGAGGTGATCTTAAGAAGAAATAGTCTCTCAGTAAGGGAAAATCCTTAGATATCGCTGATTTTATACATACTTTTAATCTATATGCAGATAATACCTACAAATGATGAACAAAATACTTTGGCATTTAGGTAACTTATATTGCCTTAATCAACATTACCTCCATTTTATTAATAAGTGATCTGTTAAAGTAGTTACTTTCTTTGTAGTTATTATTATATGTAAGCTGGTGAATCTCAACTTACCAGCTTTTTAATCAGAATTAGTTAAATAACTGATTGATGCATTTGGTAGTATACAGTTGATATTTTTGATCCATTAATTTCTATACAACTAGGTGGCTCAGATGCTGGATACAAGGAGCTGTAGTATTGCAGTGCTCTAGCCAAACTGAGCTGCCTGCTAAAAAATGGGAATGTGTGTATTTGTATTATATGTGCATATAAATAGCCACTGTTTTCAGTAAATGTTGTAATTTTTTTGTTTGGAATGTTTTGGCTTTGGTTGCACCTTTGTCCTGGAATTTGGCCAAAACCTGAGAAATTACGATGTGATTTCTTGATATACCAGGCTTAGTAGCAAAGCCAGGTGTAGGAGCTCCCTGCTGCAGTTTACTCTTACCTCAGTTACGTTGCCTGTTTGCAGAAACAGGCTGTAAGCCAGACCACTGAGGGCATCCAAACTGAAAACAACCCCTTTTCAGGATAAAGGTGAGAACTTCTGAAACCAGCTTCACAACCTCTTTGCCAACAGGCTCCTGTAACCTAGAAGAAGAGGACTTTCAGGTGGGATCTTCAGGGATGGTGACCACAACCCAGTGAGAAATGGGGTCAGCAAGGCCAGAGGCCTGGAGGACAGAATTGCAGGGAAGGCTCTCAGTGCTTTTTCTGGTCATCATGACTAGGGAAACTGACTCAAGTGGCATGTACAAATGCATACAGCATGGGGAACAGAGGACAGAAATTAGAAATCCGTATGTGGTTGCAGACCTGTGACCTCATTGGAAGCGCAAAGCTGTGGTGGAATAGCTCAGATGGCTGGAGGGCAGAAGTAGCCTGATAAAGACACTTTAGAAAAGATGGCCAGGGAAGAGGAGTTGAGCTTAAATGTTTGAATCTTTGCTGTAGAATGGGTCAGAATCAGAGGGGGAGACCAACAAGGACAACATAATGTTATGTATCTGCTACAGGCTACCAGTGTCAGAAGTAGATAAGAAGGTTCTTATGGGGGACTTTTAACTACCTTGATATCTGCTCTGGTGGGGTACATGCAATCAAGGAGATTTCTGGAGTGTGTTGAGGACAGTTTCTCACCATGGGGTGGGCTGTGTCTCAGCAAGGAGACAGGTTGGACATGCACCTTGCTGGACTGGTTATGAATAAGGAAGAACTATCTGAATGTGAAGATTGATGGCAGCCCTGGTATGAGAGGTCCTGGTAGACAAGCTGAGTCCAGTGGAAGGCCACCAAGAGGATGAGGGAGCTGCAGCATATGTTGGTCTTGGGAGAACTGATATGTTCCATTATAAGAAGAAAAGGCTAATAAAGGGGAAAACTTTTGATGTCTTCAGCATAGATAGAGAAGATGGAGCCAGACTTCTCTTGTCAATACACAGAGAGAGGACAAGAAGCAACGTTACAAAAAGAGAGATTCTGGTAGTGAGGGTGGTCAGGCACTGGAACAAGTTGTCTGCAGTGTTACGCAGTTTGCATCTTAGGAGACAGTCAGAAATGAACTGGATGAAGGCTCTGAGCAGGCTGGTCTGATTTTGAGGTTAGATACAACTTTGAAGCTGGTATGACTTAGGGAGAGGTTGAATCACACAATCTTCCAACCTAAGCAAAGGTTAAATTTCAAAGTAATTCAAACACTTGACACCTGAAAAAAAGAGGAACGAGTTAGTCCTGAAAGATTAAAAAAGGTTTGATTTTTGTGAGGTTGGAATGAACTGTTTGGACTAGTGAGATCAGCGTTGACTGGTAAGGCTTCCAGGTTGTTCATCTCATTAAAGATAATACTGATCCTTATTCTTTCTTCTACTTAGACAAAACTTGTGCTACATATGTTCTAAAAACTGATTTATGAAACAATTCAATTATTGCTGTAGTGTTGCTGTACAGCAAACCATTTTGTTGCAGAAAGTACTATAATTCCATGCTACAGTTGAAAATGAATTTTTTATGCTAAGATTTGGAAAAATTTTTAAACTTATTTTTAAGTAGTTTGGAGCATTGGGACAAAATTATGTTTATTTTAAAATGCAGCCGAGAGTTGAATTTCTTAGTAAGAAATTTATTTTGATTTTAAGCAGGTTTTTTTTTCCCCCCCGGGTGGAGTTACATGGACTGTCGTGCAAGAGAAGACCTTGCAGAATTGAAAAAAGGATTAGTTGCTGCAGTTCTTTTTTTGCAGTGGAGATGATTGGAAGTGTCCATTTATTTAATTCTGGATTCCTTACTTTGGGTTGTAAAATGTATAGCATCAGTCTCTTGAGAGGATCATATTCTGAAACTGATGCTGAAATATGAACATTGTGTATTTGATCAGTGAAATTTTTCACTTTTGCTTTGATCTACAATATAGTAAGTAATCTGTTTGATGGGTCACTATGATTTGGCTCCTTGAATAAAAAAGAAAGAAAAATAATTGAATATTAATTTTAGAAACTGCAAATAATGAGTTTCTTGATGTGAAACTAACCATGTGACCTTTACAAGGGAAAAAAATACAGCCTTCTAATTTACATTTTTGATTGTAGAAACAGGATCTGTCCTAATTTTTCAGAGTCATTATACATTACCCTTTTTGTTTTGTTTTGTTTTGTTTTTCAGTGGACAAAGAAATAAAAACTAGGAGTGTTTTCCCTGTTCTCAGTCATTTCAAAGCGTGGTGCAAGTCATATCCATGTTTATACGTTTCCTTAATGGAGTAGTGGTATAATGTACTTCCAGTTTTTAGGATGAAGCAATCAGCAGTCTGACTGTCATTTTAAGACAGCTAAGAACATTCTTTCTAATTACAAAATTCCCGCAGAGTGTTCCTTATGGTAACTCATGGAACTGATTTGGTTTCTAAAAATATAATTTCTTTTTCCCCTCCAAAAAGATTCTTCGCCTAAATTAAAGACAAAGCTGTCACCCTAACACTGTTGCTTAAAAGACCCTCAGTGGTGATTTGTAAGACGGTCTGTAGTGTAGTCGGGGAGGAAAGAGACTGTTATAGTCTGTTTTTATGTTGCTATTGCTGTTAATGCCTCTTCTAAAATTTGAAGTCACTTAACCACTAACTACCTTTGCAGTATAAACTAATCTTTCTTTTAGCAGTTCTTTGAGACATACTGTATATTCTTTCAGTTGCTTTGGCAATTAGTCAAGCATGTTTTGGATATGCAGGAAAAAAATCCAGTTTATCAGGAATGCAACAGTTTTTAGGTTCACCATTGGCACTGATGCCAAGTCCTGCTCAAGTGAACATGCATTTTTTATGTAGACATATAAAGAAAGCTTTTCAGAAAGGTTGCTGATCCAGTCTAGCTCCAGAATTGGAGAAAGCAGAGCAGTGCACTTGAGGTGTGGTTAGGATGCATTAGCCTGAGTGTAAATATCATATGCATGCTATTGCTTTTCTTCTCTTACCTGAGCTAACTTGTGTGCTGGATGGATGTACTGGTTCTGGTACTAGCTCGGGACTGGGTGGTAGACTGATGTCTCTGTAGTCTCTTACTGGTATTTTGAACCAACGTGTTTTGCTTTTAAAGTTCACCTTAGCCAGTTATGTCTTAAAGAATCCTGAGAGCAAGGAGCTTGCTAATTTATTTATAAAATACCTAGAATGGCTGGAGCTGATGAGTCTTGGAGGTCTGTTTCCTGTTGTAGAACGTTCACTGAAAATCAAAATAAGTCTTTTAAATGGAGTCAGCTAGCTTTCTGCTTTTTTTTCTTTCTTGCTGATATTTTTCTACAGTCTTTATGTAGGTTAACATAGCAATAGCTTGGTTTATGCTGTTACGTTATTCTGTACTGAATAATTGTAATAATTGACTTCCACAGTTTATGATACCTAGGTCTTACCTAAAATACTCGTAAAATCATATGAACTATTGTATTCCTGTTCCAGGCAGAATTTGAGACATTTTTTCATTATGTAAAAATCATGTTTTAATTTTCATCTCAGAATGCCTTTTTAAGATTTTGGATATGCAGGTTTGATATGAGCTAGCAGATTTTGTCCTGTAGAGAGTATGAAAGACTGGTGGAAAAATACATGTGACAAATACAGGTAGACAAATCCTTATGTCATGTTTTGGTTACATTAAAAGCTGAATTACTGTTGGAATTCTAAGGAAAACTATAGCTAGCATTTCATCTCAACAACACGTTTCCCTTTTTGCTTTTTATTATAATAAACTGTAAGATGGTTATTCACAAACCAGACTTCAGTTATGGTATGTAGTACTTGCAGTGGGGTTTTTTTTTTTTAAATAACTACCTTTTAAACAGTGAACTAGTGAGGATCAGCCTTTCTGACTGAGCAGCCAAATTCATTTTTCAAAGGAAGATGTATGAAGTTTTTTTGCACATGTGTGGATCAACTAAAGAGCACTTGGGAAATGGAAATCTGAGAGCAGGTTGCTGTCATCAGGACAATTCATCCAGCCAGCATCTTACTCATGAAAGTCTCAGTAACTGGGTTTATGAGCTAAATAAATTATCCTGCCAGGCCACATATGGACTGCAGGCAATCGGTTGAACATCTCTGTACTAATAATAAATATGTTTAGCTTGGTGTGGGTAATTAAAATATTTTTTTTAAAAAAATCCTTTTGTAATTAGGTACTTCAAGGTCTAGATTATCTACACAGCAAGTGCAAGATCATTCATACGGATATAAAGCCAGAAAACATTTTGATGTGTGTGGATGATGCCTATGTTCGTAGAATGGCTGCTGAAGCTACCGAGTGGCAGAAAGCTGGTGCTCCTCCTCCCTCTGGCTCAGCAGGTATGATAGTATATTTAAATGATATGTAGTAAAGTTCCATCAGTATATGATTGCTAACAGTATTTTATGTGATGAAAATTTACATTTTAAATAATTGTATGTGAAAAATGCATGTCTAGTTAATTCTTATTAATGCTCTGAAAACTGTCAGGGAAATGCTTTCTTCTCATTTTTGCACGTTCCAAGTTTTTGGGGTCCCCAGATATAGAAAAAGATTTATTGGTATAAACTCACTCTCCTCCCACCCCACAAGCTTTACTGGCTGGGTTTCAGCCACACTGGAGCCTTGCATCTCTAATATTGACAATAATTAATACTCTTACCTAAATTACATGTCTAGTTCCATTTCAAGTTCATCAGCATCCTTATGAAATTGTCTGCCTTCTCATCCATTATAACTTATTCTCAGAATGCAGTGAAAAGTCTTAAGAGTATGTAGTTTTTCACCCTTGAAAATTGAATTTATTGTACCTAACTGAATTTGTGATGAGTCCTTCTCTCCAGCAATGTATGTGAAATGTTTTATGTTAAACTTACCAAGAGTTTAGATAGGAACTGTACATTATGTTTAACTAGGTGAAACCAAGGTAAAGAAGTTCACAGCAATCAGTAAAGACAAACAAGGAGGAAGTGTTACTTTTCTAGTGATCTTTAGTACTATGGTTGCTATTTGTTTGTGAATCCAGCACATCATCTACAGGCAGTGGAGAAATAATAACATTTAAATAGCTGTGTCATATTGTCAGAAAATATATTAACAGATTGAAATTTCTGAGTTATAATAAAATACCTGCTATATCAGGAACAAGTACTGTGGTCAAAATCCATAAATATTTCACAATATTTTATATGTTAAGATGCGAAATCTTATAAATCATGAATATATTGTGTTGTATTTTACATAATGCATAATCACATAGCTAAAGGCTGTATGTTATTTGTGTGGGAAGTAACTTTGTTTTGTTCTTGCAGCCTTTATATTGCTTCCTGACATTAAAATAAATATTATGTTAAGGAATATGTTGGTAGAGTTTTTATCACACTTTGTTCTTAGCAAATTGTGATTAAATCTATGGCTTTCCACACCAGAGCTGAAGATGTGTTTTCTTTGCAGCATTTCAAGAATAGGTTCCACATACTTTCTCTTTTTAGAGCAGTGATGGTACTCAAGTTTAAGAAGCTTAAGTCAACCTTTTTGAAAACCTTGTTCTCAGGAGCATGCGACCAGTTTTTTCCCTGAATTTAGCAGCAGGAGCTGAATCTATAAAAGAACTCTGAACTCAAACAGTCTCAACTGCCTCAGTTTTTATTTTGCATTTGTTAATTGCCACATGCCTGTGTGTCTGAAGGAATTTGTGAGAGGTTATCCTTGCCTGTTCAGTTCCTCTTCCTTGCTTCCACTTTGTCTCTGTCGGCCATATTTGGTTATTTTTATTGATTTTGATTGTTTGAAGGGGGGGCATTGTCTGACTTGTGTTGCTGTTCTGTGCCATTTCCACAGTTAGTGTTGTAATCTCATCAGACCGAGTCATTGATGGTATCCTGAGAGAGATGCTTAGGAAGAGGCCCATGCTGGAGATGCCTTTTCTGCAGTGGTGTGCATTTTGAATATTTGACTTTTCTGTTGAGTGCAACACTGTAGTTGTCTTCGTTGATATTCCCTGAACTATTTGAAATCTATCTATACCTGCTCAGTCAGCTGACTACATAGATTTAATCTGTGACAGCTCTGCAGTCATTTAATGTTTTCTGTCCACTCTTTACTGATTCAGACTTTCCTTTTTGACTTTGATTAACTCTCCACCAACCACAACAGAGTGAACAGAAATTGATGCTAGCTGCTTCCAATTGCAGATGCTCTAATGGAGACATCAAATGATTTCAGGCTGCAGGTACTTGCAGAGAGTAAAAAATCTGACTTTAAAAAAAAAAAAATCACTGCTTATATTTAGTTAAGAATATTTTTACATAATTTCTACCACTTTATGCTTTTATAAAGTTATTTTTGTAAAAATACACCTGTAATTTTTTTTTTCTTTTTAGTGAGTACAGCTCCACAACAAAAGCCTGTAAGTATTATTATATAATTCAAATTAACTATCTTATTTTCTGTGACTGTAGATATTAATAGCTGTTAGACTGTTGGTAGTCTTTACCCTTTTTAAAAGCTTCCTTTGAATAACCCTTTTATCTTTCAAAGAATGCTTTTTTTTAATGTCTTTGACCTTACCAGTTTTAAGCACAGTATTTCTCTGATGGGAACTCTTCCAGACTTAGAATTCTATAGCTATGTCAAAGAAAATTAAGCAATGCTATTTTCATCTCTCGAGGAATAATCCATTCCGTTCAAATCCTGACAGAAATGGGTATGTGCACTAAATACCACGCATTGCAGATAGCTTAAGGACTTCAAGACCTTAATCGCCAGGGCCTTAAAGGAGAGGTTTTTTAAGAGGTTTGAAAGATCTTTTTACCATCTACCTATAGCATATAACCACCGATAATACAGCTCTTTAGAAATCTCTAAGGTCAAACCTACTTTCTACGTCCATGTAGAATTATATAGTTTCACTGAGCTTTATGACATGGATGGAAATTAGTAGGATTGCCAAATTAACTGGCTGGTTTTGACTGTCTCATGGCTTCTTTTGAAGATGACAGGATTTACAGATAAACCTTTGAGAAAATAATATTTCCTTTTGTTCCTTTTACTTTATTTTTTAATTATATGAGGATTTCTTACTGTGATACCTAAACAGTGAATGAAAACTGGATAGATCTAATTTATCAAATAGTAAAAATAGAAGTCAAAATTCAGTTAAAATATAAGAAACTGTTTAAATGCTAGCTTAGATGTGTTAATTTTTCTTTTCCTTGATACTGTACCTGAATTTTTCAATCCTTATGTTATATAAAATGTGAAACTTTTTGTGATAGCCATCTGTTGTTTGTGATTCATATGTTTTGAGCCAGAAGTGAATAATAAAAATGCTTTCCTTTCACAGGGAAGTAGCTGAACAACACAGGATTTATTTAAAATTCTTAACCATTTTCAGTCTCTGGCTTTCTCATATTATTTTTCTCTGCATGCTTTTGCTAGTCATTACCTGCATTGTACACAGAGAGAAATAATGTATAAAATTTGTATGTCAGTAACTAGATATGATAGCAGAGTATCTTCCATATGCAATATCTTTTGTTGTTCTAGATTGAAGTTGAGCTAGTTGAGATTATAGGATCATAGGAATTTTACTGTGGCATCTTAGATGTATTTTGCTCTTGTACGTAATAAACAACGTTAAAAAATGTATAAGTATGTAAGATTTTGATAGCTTTTTTTGCTTCATATAGACCTACATCGTTCTTGATTTGAAGTAAAATGGAAAAAGCAACATGTTTACTATATTAATTTCAAATAAAAAGTAATCATATTGCAAGTGAATTTGGTGTGAGATGCCTTGAGAATAGCTGGTTAGGGGTTTTGTTTTGTTTTGTTTTGTTTGTATTAATATTTTAGGTTGGAAAAATATCCAAAAACAAAAAGAAAAAACTGAAGAAAAAACAGAAGAGACAAGCTGAGCTGTTAGAAAAACGCCTGCAGGAAATAGAAGAACTAGAGCGAGAAGCTGAAAGGAAAAAAATAGAAGAAAATGTAACCTCAGCTGTACCATCAAATGAACAAGAAGATGAGTACCACCCAGAGGTGAAACTAAAAACAGTTGATATAGAAGAGGTAGTAGATGAAGAACCTGGAAATGATGATGGTTAGTATTACCTCCTTTAATTGACCCTGAATTTACTGTTTCAGTGGTGAAAGTAATTGCAGCAATGCATCTGATGCAATAAACCAGTCTTCAAACTTTCCTAGATCATTAAGTTTCATTTTCTCCTGTAGGTAAAATCATAACTACAAAGTCTAAAAAGGAAAAGTCAAACCTCCTATAGAAGTGAATAAAAACATCAATAGCAGTCTAGCTATCAAATCCTCACAAAAGAGCACATAGAAGATTCAACAGAACATAAGACACTTGTCATGCCACATTAAGTGGCATAACCAAGTATCTTGGTGAGATAGAGGAAAAATAAGATTAATTTGTATTCTGTAACATTAATGTAGTTGCAGTCATCCTTACTTTCCCCTTTTCCTGTTACAGTGTTTGCTGTAATGATCTAATCAGGTAATTGCAGCTTCTTCACTTAAATTTTTAAGATGTCTTGATAAAATTCTTACTTAGTCCTGATGGTTTGGAGCATAATTGTTATGGTCCAACTTTTTTCTGGCTTCCCTGGTTTTCTTGTCAACTCTCCAATTCTGATAAAAATGTAACTACTGAGATTGTCTGTCTTTTGGTTTGCTTTAGTTTTATTCTGCTCTCACCACAAATATTCCTACTTCTGTGATGACTCCCTGTTTGACACAGATTGAGTTATAGATTTGTAAAGCTTGCTTTTGAGACCTTATCTTTTCTTCATAACATTCTTCTCGTCTGGATTGTTCCCTTCTGAACAACTTCCCATTGATTATTTTTTCCAACAGCCTTTTTAGTTCTTTCTTTTGCCTTTAATTTAGATTTTTAAGGTCTTTGCATATTTCAGTGATATTCAGTGTTTCCTTGTGTGGTATGTCAGAAGTCAAGTAGTTACTGAAGAGTTAAAAATTATGAATGTCTAATTTTGAATGATATATTGATGTATGATCTCATGTGTTGCTCATTGAAATTTTTCAGGTGAAGCAGAAGATCAAGATGAAAAAGAAGACACAGAAAAAGAGAACACTGAAAAAGATGACGACGTTGAGCAGGACCTTGTCAACACTGACCCTACAGACCCTAAGTGGATAGAATCTCCCAAAACAAATGGCCATATTGTGAACGGCCCATTCCTATTGGAACAACAGATTGAAGATGAAGACGAGGAAGAGGAAGAATGTCCAAATCCAGAGGAGTATAATCTTGATGAGCCAAATGCAAAAAGTGATTACTCTTATAGCAGCTCCTATGAACAGTTTAATGGTGAATTGCCAAATGGACGTCATAAAATTCCTGAGTCACAGTTCTCTGAATTTTCAGCTTCAGTGTTTTCTGGGGCTCTAGAGTCCGTAGCTTGTGGTTCTGCTGTTTCTGAAGGATCAACTGTAACTGAAAGAGAGGAGAGCAGCCCATCTCATGACAGGAGCAGAACGGTTTCAGCTTCAAGCACTGGGGATTTGCCAAAAAGTAAGTATTCCTCTTAGTGGTGTATACTGTGCTTGAAGTCTTTTGGAGCTGTTGGTGATTTCTTATGTAGAATGAGTAGTGGGGTTAAACCTTATTGTGTATGTTTTATCTGCGTTCAGTGATACATGTATGCAGATTTTACTTTTTATTTGTTCTGGGTATTTTGGTGAAAATTCAATACTAATTCTTACAGGTAGGATATCACACATGTCTTTCAGTAACACAAAAGGATCTTTTAATAACTGACAAGAACTGTATCATACAGTTTCCTTGACTTTGAACACTAGGTCTAGCACTTCTCAGTGATGTGGACTTTACCTACAGGTGAAGTGTTTTAAATGTTTTTTATTTCTGGGTTGGTGCCAAACCTACTGATGTCCTGATCTGCTTTGTGCTTGAGTCTGAAGAGTGCCCACTGAAAAGATGGTGCCTGTGTGCCAGCCTCTGCAGTCAGAGGAATCCGTGCAGACTGTTCCCAAATGCTCTCTTTCCTAAGCACTCTCCAGATGTGGGGAGGGAGGTGGGATGTGGGGTCAGATTAACCATAGCTAGGGTTGTGTTACAGCTGCAGCCCACTACTGGGGACTCTTTTTTCATTGCGGGCTGATTTCACCTTCTTGGTTTCATCTACAATGAACATTTTGCTCATTGAATTGTACGTCATGTCAATGCCAAATCTCAGTTATGATTATTTTAAATTTAGTGTTTCAACTTAGAAGACTTTTAGCAAAAAGGCAGAGCAGATATGTAGAAATGAAGAGGAGGCTTTAAAGTTAGTTTGATCCCAAAGCATTCTGGTGAATTTTGATCTCCTCGGACCAGGTTTCAAGGAAAAGCCAAAGTATTAGTTTTGAATGGCGCTTAGAAATAGAGAGGGGAAAAAACACTTTTGATTTGAGTTGATGGAAGAATTTTGCTAGTAACATGGGCATGTATTAGATTAAAAAAAAAGGCAAATATGTGTAATAGAAAAGCAGTAGTTAAGGAAAAATTGTTATAGTCTCATTAAAGGCAATAGCTTAGCTAAGCTTACTTTGAGTAAATTGGATTATTTTTCTTGCATTCAAACCTGGGAGATTGATAGATGCAGGTTGGAACACAATACAAAAGCATTCTTGTTAAATTCAAACAAATCTACCATCTTAGTTTTTAAGAGGAAAACAGAATTGTGGTTTTTAATTTTTTTTCTGCTATAGAACTTGTTTTTAAGGGTATTAGGCAAGGTATTGTAGATAAAATATTTGTATTGACAGATCAGTCTACACAGGAAAGAGAAAAGGAAGTTTGTAATTGCAAGTAAGCATTATACCCATAGTTAAAGGGCAGAGGGGATCACGAGATCATGTAACCTGACTTCCTTTTAAAACAAGCCAGTCATATGCCATCTATTAAGCCCAGGAGCTTTTTTACTTGGCTTAAAACATATTTTCAAAAAAGATACCTGCTCTTGATTTGGACAAATGAAATGATAAAAAATCTAGTGTGACTGAAGTGTGTTCCACGGGCCAGTACTCATGATTGTTTCAGAACTGTAGCAAGTTTGGATTTGTCTGTCTGCAGCTTCTAGCTCTTACTTCTTGTTATAGCTTTTCTCAGTCATATTTAAAAGTTCTGTAATACACTGTATTTTCATTATTAATGGTTCTTTTCTGTTTCAAACATTTCCTCTCTTAACCTTTTATTAAAACTCAACAAGATGATTTTTTTTGTCTCTGTAAGGCATGTTGCCTCAACTCATTATGGCTTTTCTGTATTCAGTGTGGTTTGGGACATTTAAATTATGGCCACCAGAACTGCACAGATCCAAAACTTTTGCTTGTGGATCCTGTTTATTGAAGGACATGGAAGGTGAAATCTTGGTGTCATTGCAAAGAGCTGGATTTTTGCCATTGAATTAAATAGCTAAAGGGTTTTACACATAGGTTTTATTTATAGTGCCAGTGGCTAAATGATAAATATATGGGTTTCAGCTTTAATAAATAAAATATGGAGAGACTAAATCTGTAAGTGGATAGAAGAAAATGAGGTAGCTTAGGAGAAGATCACCAAACCTGCATCAACATTGTTCCAGATGAAGTTACTAAATTTAAGTAGAGTTGTATTGAAAAATACAATTGGGTGTATTTCTTGGTTTAAGGCTTTAGAATAGCAATTCACACATTTTATTACAGTCTGACAGGTAATGTAATCTGCAGATAGGCAAGAAATGTGAATTAGAATACAGCTAAGTAGAGCTGTATTTCTGGAAAATATCAAGATCTAGGTTAATAAGTCTTACAGTCCATCTCCTTACACTCTGTACTCCCTTAAACAATGTCCAGGAGGTTCCTAGATGCCTGGTAGCCTCTTCCTTTGTGCTACTGGCAGTATGTAAGCAGAAAGCCTCTACTGCTGTTTTGCTGGGCTGATGTATAAAATCCTCATGCCTCCAGAGAGTAAAGCTGGTTTCATCTTCATGGGAGCAGCTTATCTCCATTGCTGGAGAAACAAACCTACTTTATTCCTCCGTGATGTTATCTCATTAGGAGCATTTTACAGACCTTTTGTGCAGAGAAAGAAGAAAGATAGTTAATTCAGCCACAGGTCACTTCTTCCTCAAAAGAGGAAAATCTGAACATTATTAATATTAATGGCGTCAATAGTAATGTTGGGTTAAACAATAATAAAACAGATTAAGATATTTAGAGAGAAGAAAGATAGAAGAGTTGCAGGCTAGTCAGTATTTTTAAATGGTGCTACTTTTTCACTGTAACTTTAGTGCCCTTTTCTTGTATAGAAGTAAACTTCATTTGTTCCTTTTTGTCTGGGCATTGCTATACATTATTAAGTAACATGCTCTCATTTTTTCAGGGTACTTGCCATTCAGTGCACAGACCAATTTGTGTTCAGTGGATGAGCAGCTATTAAGTTTTTATCTCTTTTAAGTTTTCACTGCTACCAAATGCCCTTAAGATAGATCTGTTGATTTCCTCATGACTCTTCTCATTCCAGTGTTTGAATGTTTACTAAGTATACTACCATGCTGAGACTGTGAGAAGAGGAGGTGATATTTCTCAGTTTTATAGAACTAGGACACACAAAAGTGAAAATCAGAAATGCTCACTAATTTTGTGCTCCGGTTGAGCTCCTTTGGATGTTTTTTTGAGAGTACTTGCTAAAAAGTATGTTCCTTTTGACTTTGCTTTCGGTTGTGAATGATCCATGTTTCTCAAATTGAGAACCCAAGGTCTGATATTCATCTCTCAGAAAATACAGGACATAAACTTCATGAGTTCGTGAGAAAAACACAAAAGTGTAGGCGCTTGCCTATTACCTTGTCAGGTCCCCCTGCTAGAAGAAGGTTGAAGAAAGCTGTTTTCAAATGTCATATTCAGGTGTCTTACTAATGAGGCTTTATTTACTGCAGTCCTTCACCTTCAGCAAGATGTGTGGGAAGGATTTATCTAGCATTATTTTATTTTATTTTATTTTATTTTTATTTTATTTTTTTTATTTTATTTTATTTTATTTTTTGCCAGAGCTACTGGATTGAGAAAGGTCCTGTTGTTTCTTGAATAATGCAGGTGATTGTGTTTAAAAAAAAAATCAGACTGTACTATGCAGCATGCTTGTAAGATAAGACTTAATATTAAGCTTAACTAGTTCCTGTCTTTTAAGTGCTAGATTGCAACCTTACTCTCTCAGCAGATTTTGCTTTCATATGCCCTATATTGATGCTTTTTTTAGACTTGAGTCTTGGACTCTGTTCCAATGTTTTTAGAGGACTGTTTTGTGGACGTCACTGCCCCTTCTGTCTTCTGCCATTTAGTCCTGTCTTTTCTTTCCTTCTCTCCCTTGGTGAATCCTGCCACTTTCTTTTCTGGTTGGCCAGCATTTCAGTGCCCTGATGGCCCGTTCAGGTTTGCTGTCCCAGCAGCTGAAGATCCTAATCTGATTTAATTCACTCCTAACTCCCTAAGACATTGCTTATTTTTTCTCCTGTACCTTGTCTGGTGTGTTTTCCTCTTCCAAGTTTTATTCTGGTTCAACAGATCATTGTATCCCTATTGGAGTCTCCGGTACTTTTTGGATCTAGTACCTCTTTCTTACCTTCCCATTATTAACTTCAGGACAAGGAAACTGAGATGAATCCTCTGCTACTATGGGATTTGTGATACCTGGTTCTGTTTTCCACATTCAAGTCAATCTGTTTTCTTTCTAGTGCAGTTTAGGAGCTAGCAGGTGATATGTCAAAACAAAGAAAAGCAGCAGTCCCTCCAGTGTCGTATGTGAGGGTCCTCAGTGTCCCAAGAGTCTCTACAGATTGTAGGATTAATTAGATTAAAGTTCTGCCTTTTTGGTCTGGATCATACTCAGTGCAAATAGGGCCTTCAGAGAGCTTTGATTCAACACTGAATTGTCTGTGAACTGGGAGATAGTCCCCTAGACTCTCAAATTAGCCACATTTTGGTGACCTATTTCCCTTTGGGACAGATTAAAAAAAAAAAAAGAAATCCAGTCAAATTTTATTTACCTTAGCCAAGAATGGAAGTGCAGAATTTATTTTCTCAACCAAACAGTTCCAAGAACATATATTTCATGTGGAGTTCTTGGAGTTTGAATTTTAGCACTTGTTTTACTTAGAAGCAACCTTGGATGTTCTAATAATAGTCATTTGACAGTTAGAGAATGCAAAAAAATGGCAGTTGAAATGTAAAGTAGGAAATCCTACTTATGTTGCTTTAATTTCTCCTAACGTTCAGCAAATGATTTTGATGTCTTCAATGTATTACAAAACTGGATAAAGTGTCAAGGCAAAACTGCTTAGAGATAATGAATAGTATGTTCAGAATACTAACTATTCTGCATTTTGCTTGTGTTAGCAAAAACTCGTGCTGCTGACTTACTGGTGAATCCACTGGACCCAAGAAATGCAGATAAAATTAGAGTTAAAATTGCTGACCTGGGGAATGCCTGCTGGGTGGTAAGTAGGACTACATCATTTTAGCTGTTTAGCCTTTACTGTTTAGAACAGGCCTTTTTATTGTTCTTTTTTTCCATTAATGTGATTCTTTCTGTTTTAGCATAAACACTTCACAGAAGACATCCAGACAAGACAATATAGATCCATAGAGGTTTTAATAGGAGCAGGTTACAGTACACCTGCTGATATCTGGAGTACAGCATGTATGGTAAGAACAATACAAAATGTGTATTTTACAAGAATAGTCCTCCGAAAAACAGTTGTTCCTTTAGTGAGCAAACCTGATGAGGATGATTCTGAGATTTTGACACAAATATATTACCATGAATTATGTCATATCTGATAGCTACTTGTGATTTTTTCCCTTTATTGCAATTTTTCAAGAATCTTTAATCAAAAGGAGGTATTTTGGAGAACATTCCTAATTTTCATTTGATGCATTTTAAACTTGCAGTCAAAAATATGCAAGTTTGGAAGGAAATACATGTGTATTTTAAATGTCAGAGTCCAACTGAAATAGTACAACTGCATGTTTCCTTCCTATCTTAGAATCTATGCAACTGTTTGCCATGTGTCCGTTCCTTTTTCTTGCATAAAGTAGCAAAACAGTGAAATATTTTGAATTCTTGCCAAGTGCAGTGAAAACATTCATCAGATTAGGTTTGCAAATCACAGCTTTACACTCTAAACTTTTAAGAGAAGGAATTTTGTTTATTAGTAAAATATGTGGTAACATGCTGTAGAATTAGTTTTAACACAGTGAAACTGGAATGATATATTTTTAGAAATCTTTAAAGAATAGAAAAAGTAAAATTTAATCATTCAGCTCTCTGAAACATTATTCTGTTTGTACTATCTCTTTGAGGACAATTAAGCTACATGCATCTTCTCATTAAAGATAGTTTTGGAAATACATTTAGAAATATCTTTGTCTATTTTAAAAAAGTGAAAACTTATTCAAATCTTTATGTTTTACAAATACTTATCTGAAAAAAGTAAGTGTGTGAGGGGGAGGAGAAAACTCCAATACTAGACAGAGTTTGCAGGCGTGGGTGATGAGAAGAATTGCAGAGCTCAGAGGGAGAGGAGGAGGATTGAAAGGAACATGAAATCCTACAGATAGAAGCTCTGCAAGCCATGTTTTGGAAGTAACTAACCCATAAGTAAAATTGCAAGTATGTTTTCTCTGGAGTTTAGTACCAGCTTTTGCATTAGTACACAGAAAAGAACACCCATTTCCAAATTTACTCTTCCATTTGGGGGCAAAATGTAGGATTTTTCTATTACCTTGAAAACAAAGCATAGAAAATATTCCACAGTTATTATCCTGAATTCTTTGAATGATTCTTCTCATAACTAACTGCAAAATTACTATAGAGACTTTTCATTCAATTTACGTGATATTTTGTAAATCTCAGTTGAACTTAATACCTTTTTATGGTAATGAATACCCTATATTAGTATTTCTTTAAGGTTGCACTTATGCCCTGCTAATTTTATATACAGTCTTGTAGCTAAAGCCACATAAAAAAGGCTGAAGTCTATCTAGGGTAGTGTTTTAAAGAAGTGGAGTACTTAATAGCAATATCACACCTAGGGAATATAATATTCTTACAGTACTCGGGGTCTTCCAGTCCTTTACACTATAATTCTTTTCCATGTTATTTAAGTTTTACTGTTTTCTTCATGCAAATCCTTTCTCAAACTCAAGGAAAAAAACCCCTAAAACTAAAGAATCTCTGATGCTAGGGGTATCTTTATTCAGATTCGCAATTATTTATGAAATTTCAGTATTTCAATGAAAAAAATTATACTTGTGTTTTTTTGGTATGTAAGCTTTAAAGATAGTAAAGCATTTGAACCAGAAACACTGGAATTCTGTCTTCTGCCACAGACTTTGTTTTTTTTCCCCTTAAAAATGCTGTGGAAATTGTAGAATCGTACAGCACTGACATACAGTTGTTGAATTTGCAAAAAATAGGGATCAGTCTCTCAAGATCACCCCAAAAATTCATAATTTCAAAACCCCTCAGGATCTGCTTTCATTCCTGTATGGTTGAGAAAATGGGTCAAAGCACTGTGAGTGCTGATCCTATATCAGATAGAAAACAGCTCTGAGGTAGGGATTGACTTGAAGACCTTAACAGCTCTTTCTGCAGGGGACTTGTAGCAGAGATTAATGGGTAGGGAACCATTCCTGATGTGGAACTGCAGACTCCCAATTAACATACTTAGGCTGTCTTTGGAAATTATTATTTGATTCTCTCCAATCCCTAAAGCAGCCAAGAACTGTGACGTACCGAGGTGTTTTAATGCCATTGTAGTCCCACTTACCTTCTCAAGTTTGAATTCCTTGTTGTTTCCTGAACGACCTAGATGTCATTCAGAAAATGCCCTCCTAGGTTACCTTGCTCTTGTTTCATATTTAATTCTCTTTATTCCATGATGTTCACTGTTACATGTATTTTCAAAAGGATTGTCCACTGGAGCAGGAGCTGGAGGTGTTATTTTCAGTCAAAGTACAGCTCAGATACCTCGTTACCGGAGTTGACCAAGTCTCTCAAAGAAGAGCAAGGAGACTTCTCTGTCATGTTACTTTGCTTGTACAACAAGCCCAGAGTCATTAAGGACATTTTTGGAAGCAGTACTGTGTGAAATGAGTGGTCCAGCAGTATTGCCATGACTTTTTTCCTGTCGAGATTCCATCCTTCCATACTTTGTCCTTTATGACAATACCAAGCACACATGAAGTGGTGTCCCAGCAGCTGACTCTCTGTTGTTTTCATCTAGTATTTTTAATTTCCTGGTTGGTTTATTTATTTATTTAAAGATTGTCAGTTAAGGGGTAGCTATTTGTTAAAAAGTGACCTGGGTTTGAGGTTGTGTTCAGTTTAGGTAAGTAATTGCTCTGATCGTACCCACCTGTCAGAAATCCTATATTTGTGAATGGGTGGGAAAGGTGCCATCTAGCTTTGAGGTGAGAGCCACGTTACATAATTACAGATCCTGTCCTTCATTCTGATAATGATTTTGACTTCGGATGAGCTTTCTTGTCTCAATTTATCTACTGAATGATAATGCACGTATTGCAAAAGCCTAGTGTGCCTAGTATGAATGATGTATAATTAATGTGAATGCAAAGTATAGTAAGGTGGTATCAAAGCAAAGATGAGACATTCCGCTTTTAAAACCCTTGCTCATAACTGAATCACTGAGCTAGTTCTCAACCGGCACTGAAAGAAGGTTCAAAATATTTTGACCTCATTTGGATGGAGTTGTGTGCAAATACATCTTGCAGATCTGTGTGTACCTACAGCCTTCTAATCAGAGATTCCTGACCAGGATTCTCACACAGACTGATCCAGGTGTGCTCTTCGTTCCTCCATCTGTGTAGCATAGAAGACCTGCTGCTTCAAAGTCATGTTCAGGTTCTCCATCTCAATGGGCATTGTTTTAAGTTTCACAACGTGGCTGCCAAACTTTCACGAATGGGCTTGCTCACAGGCAGTTCAGAACACCGTGCTTAATAGTAAACAGCATACAGGAAGATTGCTTAGCTTGTAAAATAGAAAAGGTTCTCCATCTGGTATATATACCCACTACTGTGTCAGATATTCTAGATAATGTCTCGATTTAAAAAAAAATATTTATCTTGCTCACTGGGAATAGTATTGACTATGAGGGTAGCAGAGCTGGTTCTTGTATTGGCTTGTATTTGTGGCTTAAAGTGTTAAGTCAAGCACAGCGGATGTATTGTTTCTCAGCAGCAGCAGACTGTCTTTTTTTCATCATGCCGTTAGCTCATCAGTTTTACTGAGTCTTCAGTAACGAGGAGGGAGATTATGATGTTTTTACACAAAGGCCTCTGATAACAGTGTCCTGAGCTGCAGAGGCGTCTGCGTTCATGTGTGCACGGCAGCTTTCAGAATACTCCCTCTATGACTCTGGCTTTAAGGACATGGTATGTTGTATCTACGTGGAACGCTCTGCTAATACGTGTTGGCTTTGTCTAGTCACCAACTCCATGGTTTTGATGCAGCTTCCGGGAAAGCCTAGTCCTGTTTCATTTGTATTGTCTTCAGTGTGGAAGTAGCCAGATATTCTGATCAGGATTACTTGTGCTGGAAGTGTACATAAACAGAGCCATGTAAGGACTCTACCTACATAGCATATACTACAAGAGAAACAGTGCAAAAGAGGGAGAAATACCTCAGTGCTGATAACCCTACAGTTCTGTTTCTTTTGGTGTTATGCCAGTGAATAAGTAGCATTGTAAGCCAGCAGCCTGTAAGCTGAATCTTCTAATTCTAGATGATTTGTCATGGCCCAGTTCTTGTGCCCCAAACCTGTTTGAATCAGATACAAAGGATGAGATCAAGGGAGTATCCTCAGGCCAGTACTAATCCTCTGCTCAGGTGAGCTGAGTCTGAGAGTCTATAAGAAAAAGGAAAAAAAAAAGAAAAGAAAAGAAAAAAGAGGCAGAGGAAAAAAAGAGGGTGATGCATATTTTTGGAGCTTTATAATCGGTGCACACACAATGTGCTGTGAAGCTGATGAAAGAAGTTAGATGCCAGTGGGCTTTTCCAGACTATGACAGAGTTGTTTGCTTGTTCTGAGCTCAGCAAAGAATGCAACAAAGTGTAACAATTTTTTTTTCTCCAGACTTCGGTAACCTAGGCCTGAGTGATTGTTTGCTGCACATTAACAAGTTTTGCTAGGGAAATCTCACAGTGCCCTTTCTTTTTCTTCCCAGAGTTTGTCTTATGTAAGTGGGATGCTCAGCTGCTTTCATGGAAAGCTAGATACTGGGAATCTCTCTCCACATTTATTAAACTGTAGAAAATTCCATGTTCCTTTGCTGTACTAAGCCCTATTTTAATTATGCCAACAGGGAGATGCATCTCTCATTTTCTCCCAAAAAAAGGAAGAGATTTGGAACCAGTATTCTACAGGATTGAAACTGCCCTTGATAATTTGATTTTATTAGGATGACTTCCCATATTTGCAGCATTGAGAGGGTCACTTTCTGTGGAGCAGAAACTGGATGGGCACTGCGTGATTTAGCATTTCCTAAATCTCAAAAACTGTGGAACACAGAACTCCACTGCTGCTGCCAAGAAATTTTGGCAAGATAAGGCAGTTAGTACTGGCGGGGAGCATCCCTTTGTATTGCTTCTGGAAATGACTGCACACACCATGATTCCACTG